CCCCCCCTGCGCCGCTGGACGCAGGGCTTAGTGACGCGCTGGACGCAGGGCTTAGTGACGCGCTGGACGCAGGACCCATCTGAGAGTGACCCTGCAGAGCCCACCATAGATGCTGCACAGCCCATCTGAGACTGTCTATGGTGGGCTCTGAAGGGGTCTCAGGTTGGCTGGTCAGGGCTGCATCCCTCCCTCCTTTCCTTACTAGCTCCTCTTACCTGCACACATGGCCTCGTCTGCCACCGGACCGGCCAGAAGTGACGTCACTTCCGGCCAGTCCGACATCAGACAAGCAGCGTCGCTGATGGGGCCCTAGCTTGTCACAAAGCCACTGGAGCGGCAATGCCTGGGCCCTGCGCTGCCAGGGACAGGCCTCCGCCTCCTCGCCCTTCACCGTCGGCCGATAGTCATGTGAGGGACCCAGGCGGGCCCCCCAGGCCCCTTACATGAGTATCGGCCGTACCCCCCCTGAGGGCTGCACTGTTTATAATGTTTATTTTGTATAAATAATCTATATATCTTTATGTGTATAGGCCCCTTGGGAGAGATTTCCCTATACTTCCTGTCAAATAGTCACAACAGGAAGTGAGAGGAAATCCCCGGTGCTCAGCTGAGTCACCAGATTATCCATCTATTCCTGTTCTGGTGACAACATTTTGGGATTTGCTTTCACTTCCAGTGATAATAGTCACCGGGACAAATAGAGGGGGGCGGGGGCGAGGGTGAATCCTGCTAATGGGGACACAGACAGCATTCAAAACCTGACAGGGGGTCTAATCCCTCACCACTCCATCCACAACTAAAAGCAGTTTTGGCTTCAGTGGCACTTATTGGAATGGAGTCCTGATACAATGTAGCGATGAGGAGTGATTGGGAAGTTACATTGTATACGGTGATTACAGAAGATTGAGTTGGCATCCTCTGTAAGGTGAAGGGTCCTTCGCAGACTGAACACGGGCCAAGCCGAGGTTTCTGCGGAGAGCCCCTTTAAATCACGCAGGCTCTCCTGACGAGAAGTGTTGCTCTGATTATTCCGGGAGTTCCACATTTAGCGGTTTGGGATCGGCGGCGTTGTGTCCTTTTATCTCAATCCATTAGCCGGTCCCAGGACAGCCGTGGGTGAGGGGTTGGGGGCGGAGCCAACCCAGTTCCCGCCGGCTCCGGCTTTTATATAAAGCTTCTAATGGTTTGTTGTTGCTCTGTGATTCCAGGATGGCCGCCGACATGGAGACGATGAGAGAGGAATACAGGAAGCTGAACCGTTCCTGCTTCATCCTCGGGGCGTCCGGGGAGACGGGGAAGGAGCTGCTGAAAGAGATCGTCCAGAGCCGTCTGTTCAGCAAGGTCACTCTGATTGGACGCCGCAAGTTGAATTACGAGGACGAGGCGTACAAGGACCTGGTGAGAGCCCATCAAGGCCGTTCATAACCAGACACAATGGTTTTCTTTCTGTTTTTGATAGAATATGGAAACTATAAACCCCATCAGGTTTTTTTGTTTGTCTGTTTTTGATGTCTGTGTTCCATTGGGGAGAGATTTCTCTTTACCGCCTGTCCCGGAAACACAACAGGAAGTGGGAGGAAATCTCTGCTGCACTCTCCTCCCCTGGCATCCAGTATTAGGTCGTCTCTCGCTGACTCCAAG